TGAAAACTCTTTAATTGGTTACTGAATTTATTACTAAGTGAACATGACCACAGCCTTCTTCAAAAGTAAAGAAACAAAAGCAACTTTATCCCCTTTTCCAAATTTCCATGCACTTACCGCTTGAAAGAAGTTTAAATTTTAGTGATTTGTTTTTTTATTATTTCTATTTTTTGTTTTTTCCTTGACAACACGTCAAATACCAGATGTTACGATCTGGAAACTTTATTTATTTAAGAGGGATCCTGCAGAAGCAGCGTCACGCAGTAGAAACTGAGCTACTCTAATCGAGCAGATGGAGAATTGTGACACCAGCTGGTGGGAGTCAAGAGTGAAGTAATTACGGTGCTTTTTAACTGCAGGATCTACCAGAGTAGTTTTGTTGGGGTCATTAATAAGCCTACTGGGGTAAAAGCAGATTATCCAGGTAGAAATTTACCCCAGAAAACAGCCCTGCTAGTGAGGGGGCATTGCTGGTGCTACCCCAAGCCTTCAAGGTGAAGCTTTGTGCCGGACGAGTTGCAAAACACTTTTTTACAGTTTCGCTTTTATTATCGTTATCTTCCAGCTACCCAAGTTCAAACTTTCACTGTTATATTTTAAACTATTCATTCCTGCTGCCGAGACAAAGGGAGTAAATCCTTGAGTTAAAGTAATGTAGTAGGGCTTTAAAGTGTTTTTATTTGGATATATTAGAAGCTGTTAATCTGGCAAGTTTCCTGCAGGTTTGAGGGGAGTTTCATTCTTCTTCAGGTCACTGGGAAAAAAAAATATTAAAACACCAAGTTGTGATACTGGTTCAAGGTATGGACCTTGAATGTAGTTTTGTTAACAAGACATTGGGATAAATGGATTAAATTTTTTGCATAGTTTCATTGTTTTCACTACTCTTTCAGCCTGAACATTCTTTAATGCCAAGATAGATGCTGTTGATCTGATTTTACTGTTTTCTGCCTCTTTTGCTGCAGACAAGAGAGTGCTGTTGTCTCTGCTTGCAGGTATTCCTGTTATACGACTAAAAAAAATAAGACAAACTATTTCAGTGCCTCAAGTGTTGGGAATGCACACAATAAACAGCTGAGATGCAATGCAAGAGACCAAGCTTAAAGATTTGTTCTGTTTCTTTCACAAACATTGTAAAGCAAAACAAGAACACGCGTCTGCTTAAGCAGCTTTAAGCATATGAAGTGTGCCTCTCCTTATATGGACAAACCATCTCACCTTGACAGAGTCCAGCAGATCTTTAGGGAAAAACCGCCTCAGACCGACATCTTTCCTGAAGAAAGAAGCAGAGATCAGAGCGCTGTAATCACACGAGGAATGTTAAATGGCTCACATTTCTCTCTTTATCTGATCTCAGCTGTCTAAATTTCCTCTGCTGTGACACTTTGAGAGAGAAAGAGAGAGAGAGAGACACGGCAAGACAGGTATTAGAGTAAAAACAGGAAGGTCTCATTCATCCGAGCTTGGAAATGGATATAAAGTCCTGAAATTTGCAGGGAAAGTGAGTGATGCAGGCCAGAGTGGAGAAAGGGGAATCTTAGTGACCAAGAAAGATGTGTGGTGTTATAGCAGGAAGCTAACTAATGACTCATATTCCTTAGAGGAAAATATGAGTACTCCAGAAGGAGGAAAGAAAGGAGCGAAGAGGGAGCAAGGAAAAGCCGAGGGAGGTTACATCATCTTTTCTCCGACAAAGGTCACTTCCGCAATCAATATTACACAACAGCATAATTACAGTACTTTGCTAAAAATGTGTGGGAAATATATGGCCAAAGAACCACAGGCAAACATGAAAGACCTGTTTTTCATCGCAGAGCCGGGTGCATGTTTGTTAGAGGATTGTTTATGTCAGACTTTAAGCTGCATCTGCCTTCAGGTTTCCAGCATCATAAAAAGTATGAGCAAATATCCCATTACTGGGTTAAGGCTGTTCTTGTCTCTGTGTCACAGTGGACAAGTAAATCAGGCGTAACCCTTTCATGCATGAATTATGATCCTTTGTGTCAGGATTTTTTTTTACCAAATTCTGTTTGATTTTCTTAAGGCATTAAAAAAAGGGAAAAAATGTTTGTAAAAAAAAACTTTTTATTTTAATTAATTTTTTTAGGTGATCAATTGTAATTTTCTACAAATACAAAGTTGTTATTTGAAAAATACATCAGTAGTATTATTCTTTAGGGGTTATCTGCGTGCTTTTTTGTCTGTCGGCCATATTGGATTTAACCAAAATAATTTCTTGCATTTGCAGCTGATGGCCAGTAGTTGATAGTGTATTTTATGATGCATTAGTGTCCACTTCAGTAATCGGTGTGCATTTATAACATAAAAACCTTCAAAAAGCACAAGAAAATGGATATTAGATACCTGTCCACTGTAGTGACAGCTATGAATGAAAGGGTTAAGGGGGTTTGTGCTTATTAGCTTTTGACTCCAATTCAGCAAAAAAAAAAAAAAAAGTGTTTTATGGGTTTATAACAAATATATATAAAGATGACATCTCCATGCAAGTCTGAAGAAATAGGATGAATATGATCCTGACATAATCAGATTTATTTTATGGAACAGAAACACCCATCACCTGACCTTTCAACTAAAATGGATTCAACCCCAACTTGTCACTAATATGTAGAGAAGCAACAGGAGGTCATCTGGGGACCAGAATGAGACGATATTATGTTTGACTTGCCCTGATAAGTGGCTTCCACACAGACACCTAAAAATCCAATATTACTCCAGTCAATAAATGCACCATACATAGACAATGCCAGATTGAAGGCTGAGCTAGCTTCAGCATTAGCAAAGTGTTTGAAAGTAAAGATAGATCAATTATTTGTAGTTAGTTTGGACCATTTTCACTGCATGTTTTTAAACTAATCAATCGTTCAGATATAAACAGCGGCACTGATCAGACTTTTATAGGCAATTTCTGTCTCTTTACAAACAACCAACAAAATATTTATTTCAAGACAAGATAATCTAGAAGGCTGAGTGTTCATTAATTATTCATGTGAATAACAGAAGTGATGTCATGCCTGTGTGAAAGAGCAGACTGTAAAAATGAGGCTTAGCGATTAGCATAATTAGCATATTAATACGATTTACTTTTAAAGTTACTCTTATGGCTTTTTATGCTTTCTCTGACCTCGACTTTGAGTCTCCTTTACTCAGTAATAACTTCAACATCAAAGAGTGGTGTTGTTGTCACCTCCACCTGTTTGTTCATGTGCCAAGACTCAATGCTTTTACTGACTGGAAAAAAATTGCCTCTTCTTCTAGACGACACTAAAACATCCTGCGAGGTGCTACCTTTCAGATATATGTTCTCGTTTCAACAAGAACATATTTTGGTTTTAAAGAGAAATAAATCTTGTTATAATGACAAACTTCCTCTTTTTAACGTTACACTGCTGTTGTATTTCTCTGCCTGTCGAAACGCTTTCATGTGAATCAAAGACAACTTCATGGAGAATGAACTTAAAGTTGATACTTAAAAAATTTTAACAGCAGTTTGTCGCAAAGGTACAATTGGCTTCCATTTCATTTGATTGTCTAGAAAATACTGCAGAACTGCTGCATTCTGATAGTCTGACAGACGGAAATTTGCTCATTATTCACAACGAGCTATGATCTGAAAACTTGGTTTACACAGTTGATGATCAAATGAAAGACGACGTAGCTCAGGTCTTTTCTTGTTTCATAAAAGTGACGGCTTTCAGAAGCTATTTATTTGCTGGGAGAAAGTATTTCGATGTACAACTATCTTTTTTAAAACCACAGACTGCTTATGCTGCTGCGGTCAGATCCAAGGACACCACTTTAAATATTACAAGGAAGTCTGGCTCTTTGTAAGTGTGAGGTATGGTTTAAAATCACTATGTGTCCAATGAGACAATCAAGGAGGATAGCATTTTATGCAACACCTTTTTTCAAATCAATTTAAATGTGCGGATAAGGACAGACTGAAGCAAGCAGCATCATAAAAAACCCTAAAATAAAACGAAGATTTCTGTCTTCAACTATTAAGCAAGGACCTAGCAGTCCCTTTTGGCTAACTGTCAGCTCTTCCTCTCTTCTGTCTTGCTTGTTTAAAATATGTGTGACACTACATCTTTTTCCAATCAACAGAGAGACAGACAGCAAGGGACACAGAGGCGAAACAAAAGAGGAGCAGCTTGGGAGGAAAAAACAGGCAGAAGGACGAAGAGAACACAAAGTGACAACGTGATCCAGTGAAGAAACAGCGGACATTCTTCTCTGTTAATTGGAAAGCTCGTTAGGCAGAGGTTCAAAGGGAAACCTTTCAATGCAAGTGAGCAGCTCGTTAAGAGTCGGGACGCGTCAGAGCCGGACCTAATTTAGACCTCGCTTTGTTAATGCTTCATTCACAGCCACCGACCAAAGAGCCCAAAGTGGGACAACAGGAGAGCCAAACATGGAGGCAAAAACTTTCTGAAAGAGTTCAGGAAGTTTTCTCTTCACCATCTGACTGCAGCTGGTGTAAAGATTTAGCACTTCCAGATTTATGTGCCTTTTTTTTTTTTTAACGAATAATAACTTTCAATTCAAACAACTGTTGCTACTTGATTCCCAAGTACGTTTTCCAGGCAGAAACATGCTTATTTGGACATACTTTTAGTTGCTGGGGGAAGCAAGGAGACACATTTCTGGTTTCTACTTCCTCTTTTTTGGCACAGAGACAAAGGAGAAACACTTACTCCAGTAGTTCATAGTTGGACTTCTTGTCCAGAGCATTTCCTCTCATCTCTTTGAAGAACCTCCTGGAAGCGAAACAAGTGGGACACCAGAATAAAAATGGTCAGATAATTGACAACACTAGTTGGCAATCAAAAAAGGACTTGACTTTAAATGGACATCTTAAACTATATTCAGTCTGAAGAGAAGACAAACACGAAGCTTCACTGAAGTCCTATCTGAGAAACGTCTGCTGCTCTGAATAATGAATTAAACACACTTACTAATACTGGCGTGAGTTATTAGTGCAGCTCAGAGGCAGACCGACTGACACGGAAACGACTCCAGCGAACCAAATTAAATCTTAGCAAAGAATACTGCTGCTGTTTAGTCACCAGGAATCACTTTATAATGATTTTTTTTTTTTTTACCTGATTTCCAGACAGCCCAGCTTGAGTGCTACATCTTGTTCCACCTGATCCCCATACTGTGTCATGTAGTCATTTTTCACCTGAAAGAAACATAAATATCCAGCGCTTTTTATCTTAGAGTCGAGTTTCTCCCACAAGTTTTATTGACCCAGATTATCTGAAACCAAACAGACATTCTTCCAGCACCGCCATATGCCTCAGTGCTGGCGGCCAACAACCAAAGACTACATCGCCTTGCAAAAAAAATATTTACAAACCTTGAGCCTTTTTCACATTTTGTCACATTACAAATGTAAACTTGAGTGAAATGCACTGGGATTTTATGAAAATAGATCATTCTAACTGAAGAATATACTTTGATTTCATATCATTATAGATCTGGATGAATATTCAGGGTGGTTGTCCTGCTGGAAGATGAACACTTTTGAAGTTTCCCACAGATTTTCTTCCAGCTTCACCCTGCATTAAACTCCATCCGCCTTCCCTGTCCCTGTTGAAGAAACTAATCCTCTAGGCATGTCGGTGCCACCGCCAAGTTTTCAAATGAGGACTGTGTGTTTCTGGTCAAATGAAGTGAGTACAGTTCAATCTTTCTCGTGTTTGCTGAGCTCTACTGGCAAAATGTGAACAGGTCTTTTTGCACATTTCTTCTGGCTTTCATAAGAAAGCCATTTTTGCATCCAAACTAATAGCTGTCCTCCCAACAATCTCCCACCTGAGGTGTGAATTTCTGCAGTTCTTCCAGAGGTACAAACTGTCTTTTGGTTGCATCTCTGATTTAATGCTGCCATTATCTGTCCTCTGGAGTCAAATGGTTGAAAATGGCAGATTTTTATTTGTAAAAACTTGTGAAAAATATGCATTATCTGCCCCTAGGTTCACAATTATGCATTACTTTGCATTGGTTTGATAAATAAAGTCCTGAGGTTTGTGGCTGTTACATGGCAAAATGTGAAAAAGCTCAATGCACCATCTAGATGTTGTGGTTGTGTACCTGATGGTAGAAGTAGTTGAGTGTAGGTTTGTCTTCTGTAAACTGCTGGACGAAGCCTTTAGGGAGGTAGCGAATCCTTAGCTCATACCTACAGGAGAAGAAGGCAAAACCTAAAACTTCAGCACTTTTCACAGCTGAAAAGATGGATTGATTTGCATAAATTATTAACCTCTTTAATTACGCAAATGTAAGATTGCCCATCATAAATAATGTGCAAACACCCAGACGCTTGTTAGTTGGGAACAAGAAAAGGAAACTCTCACAAGTTTAAGAAAGAAATAATTATTCTACAAATACAAACAAGCAAAAGGCAGAAGAAGAACCAGAAAGGATTTAGGACAAACTGCATTAAAAAACATCACCACTCAGGGAAAGAATACAAATGAGGATTGTAAACCAGCATCATTGACAGAGATGCAAACAAAGAGAATGTTGTTGACTTAGCGAGACAAAGCAGACATCTGCTTCTCGCTCTGTCTTTATGTTCACAGAGAAAAGGTCTCCTCCTCACAGCAGCATTAGCACCAAGACGGCCGCAATAAAGTGAATATATGCCACAGCCTTAACATCCAAGCTGAACAGCCCCACACACAAGGTTGAAAAACACTCAGGTCACGCCAATTTTTCTGATGCTGTTTGCAAATAAATCAGCCACCGTAGAGTGCTGCGTGACAGACTGCTGACGCTAAATTAGTGGGGTGACTTTGAACGCCCATAAAAGTCACGCCAACCCAAAGCAGGAGACCAACTGGAGAGGTTAATCTCAGGCTTCCTAAAATGTGTTTTTTAAGATACAAACAAAACCATCCTCTTCCCTAAAACTCTTTAATACAGGTGTATTTTTACTCATCCATCATTACTGTAAATTAAATGTGAATCATAACAGATCTCTACAGCTACCGTACAAAACATAAGATAAATGTGACTCGGCAAATATTTGCTGCTTTTTGTCTAATGAGGGCACAAATAATTTTTGGCTACAGGGTTCCTTCACACTTCTCATATGATATTCGATTCCTTCTCAGTCTCGACAGACCCAACAATTAATAAAGAATACTTTATGAATTCTGGTGCTTTTATTTTGTTTATTTAAAAAAAATGCAGTTTTAGTGCGTTGTTTGGCATCAGAACCAGCTGAAGGCCCAAATGCCCAGTTAAATCTGGAAGTGAGGTTGTCTAAAGTAGAAACGATTGTGAAATTACTTTGTTTTGATACTGGGATGAGGATGCATTTAGTCAGTCAGTCAGACACCAAAATACTGATGGGTATAGTTCAAATCAAGACAATGTAAAAAAAAAAAAAGTCAATACATTTATTAAGCATGACCATATATATATATATATATATATATATATATATATATATATATATATATATATATATATATATATATATAT